CCCTTTTGGATGCCATTATATGCTGGATCATCAGAAAAATCCTAATAGGTCAGAAAACAGTTTCAAACACAGGACCCTGACACCAGTTAAAATATCACATGTATTTTAGCTCTTCAAAACAAAAAATAAAGAACCTTGAGTAGAATGCTTCATCTCCATACCTTTGGTTTCTCTAATAACGATGGCATTTAATAATCCTTTCCCCCTTACGGCAGTTACGATATCAGAAGGTAGCTTCATGAGTTCATTTCTCAAGATAGTGCCCATTTTGTCTGCATTTTCAGCAAGGTTTTCTTCTTCCAAAACCTGTGTTTCAGGAGAAATTACATAAGCCTATAGCCGCCTGACAATTTATATGACCTGGATCCCACATGGTTGAATGCACAGTTTGAATCCTGGACCCACCAACTTGAAAACCACTCCATGTGCATGTGTGTACATGCTTAAATACCAAAGAAGGAAGAAATGAAGAAGGGAACGCTTTCTCCCTTCATCTCTGCCTCCAGAGAACACACGTGCTCCCTGGCAAATTTAAAAAATAAACAGACTGGGACCAGCAGTTGGCGTAATGGCTATGTTGGACTCCCATGTAGTAGACCACAGTTCGAGTCCCAGACCCGGTGGGTTAAACTCACGCTGGGCACATGTGCATACGTGCCCAAGATCCTGAGAGGAGAATGGAGGAGAAGGGATTGTGGCGTGGCCATCCCCCCAGGAGGTGATTTCTCACTTTCTCTCTCTCTCTCTCTCTGTCTTTCTGGTGAGCACACGTGCTCTTTAGCAAAAAAACTATCCAAATAAATAATAGACAGACTTCCCTTATTTGTTGTTCTTTGAAGGGTAAGTAGATTATAAACAAAGGAAAAGGATGATTAAAGACCAAAATTACTTTCTATTTTTCAAAGCCTGTATTAGTTTAATTTCTAATTAAACGTATACTTAATTCAGAGTCATAAATCCATTGTTAATCTGTTTTCATGGCAAAAGAAAGATTAAAATTTGTTTAATGTGAGGCCAGACTGTGGCACAGTGGTAAAAATCTGACGTTCTGGGGACCAGAGGTGGCATGATAGTTCAGGTGATGGATACTCCCACATGGCCAACCAAGGTTCGAGTCCTGGACCTGGTGGCTTGCTTTCTCATTCCCGCCTCGCCCCCCGTCTCTCTCTGGTCAAATTAAAATAAATGTATGAATAATTTTTTTAAAAATCTGATGTTCTGTGAGGCAGATCCATATGCCAGTTGCCAGTTCTCATCCAGAGACCTCCCTGAGTAGGCCTGGCACATGTGTGTCCATGACCCAATGAAGCTGAGGTAGACTGCTGCACCGGGACCTGGTCAGGAGTACTATCTCTGTCTTTCTCTCTCTCTCTCAGAATACAAACTTTAAAAATTAAATAGTATTTAGTTTTCAACTAAAATGGAGTTTCCTTTTCATTTTTCCCCCTAAAAATGACTATCCTCAGAGATGACATAGTAATTTTATACCTTTTGTAGACATTTAAGGAATAAGTCTGGAAGTACTCTAAAACTACACTTAAAAAAGAAACATTGCCTGCTAAGCGAAGGAGGCCTGTTAGGTGGGTCACCATGTGCCGTTCTGTGAGGGCCAGCCAGGGCTCAAGGGTCCAAAGCTCCCGATGACTGCAAACTCAGGAAGCCCGTAGAGGCAACCTGGTTCAGTAGGCCAAGGCTGCATTTACTTCTTGAGGATGCTGTGCTCCTATAATTCTTCCTCGTGCTTCACGTTCCTTAATATTTGGTAATCTTAACATATTTCTTATTATACTATCATTAATTAGTGGACCATAATTAAAAATCACTTCAGCACTGCTTATAAAAATAGAAACTGCTGGGGTCAGCAGGTGGTGTTGTGGTTAAGAGCACTGGATTCCCATGTGGCTGACCACAGTTCAAGTCTCGGACATGGAAGCTTGCTTTCTCGCTTTCCCTTTCTCTCTCTCTGGTCAAAATTAAAAAATGAAAATAATAACAAATGGAATTAAATAAATAAATATTTTTTTAAAAAATAGAAACTGCTTTGGGGCCAGCTGGTGGAATGGTGGTTAAGGAGGCTGGAACCCACATAGCTGAGGATGCGGTGGGAGTCCTGGACTAGACGGCTTGAAAAACACATTGAGAGGCCATTAGGTGGCTTGGTAGTTTAGGGCACTGGACTCCCACATGGCTGACCATGGTTTGAGTTCTGGACCCAGTGGCTTGCTTTCTCACTTTCCCTCTTTCTCTTTCTCTCCCTGGTAAATTTTAAAAATAAAAAAATGAATAACATTAAATAATTCTTAAAAGAAAAAAAAAAAAAGAAAGAAAGAAAGAAAGAAAAACACAATGATTGCAAGTGCGTGTGTGTCCAAAATCCCAAGAATGGAAGAAAAGGGACTGCAGTGTGGTCATCACTCTGAGGGGTGCTTTCTCACATTTCTCATTCTCTCTCTCTCTCTCTCCTCCCTCCCTCCGTCCCTCCCTCCCTTCTCCTCCCTCCCTCCCTCTCCCTGGCAAAAACACATGTGTCCCTCCCTCCTCCCTCTCCCTGGCAAAAACACATGTGTCCTATAGCAAACAAAACAATACAAAACAAAACAAAACAGGAAAGGGGAAAAAGAAATAGACGTTGCACGGCTGTACTGGTTCTTACCTCCAGGGCTGCGATGGCTACTCGGCAGCCTAGCGGATTGCCTCCATACGTCGACCCATGTTCCCCTGGTTTGATGGTCAGCATAATTTCATCATCACACAACACTGAGGACACCTGAAAGACAGTGAATTCACCGTATCACTTCTCAGACTAGCATTTTTATTCTTAGCACACTAGAAACACAAATATGAAGTTAATATTAAATTTACATAAACTTCAACAAAAAAGAGTTTACAACTCCCATCCTAACTACCAGCGACAACATGAGTACCACCCTAACATATTTGCATACATTAGGCACACTTCAGTGAAACGGATTTTTTTGTTTTGTTTTGCTATAGAGTACATGTGCTCACCAGAGAGAGAGAGATTAAGAAAGTGAGAAAGCACCTCCCAACAGAGATGGCCATGTCACAGTCCCTTCTCCATTCTCCTTTCAGGATTTTGGGCACACATGCATGCATGCCCAGCATATTTTTCAAGCCCCCAGGTCCAACCATGTAGCTGACCACCATGTGAGATCCAGCTGCCTTAACCACCTCGCCTAGGGCAGACCCGGAACTAAACAGTTCTAAACCTCAAAGGGAAAAGTTATTTCTACAACGATACAATTTACAATCCTTTCCCATACTAAGGTGATTACAATCCTTTCCCATACTAAGGTGAAACCTTCTGTTTAACTGCTTAGGAAACAAATTTGAGCACTCTTCAGCAAACAGTTTTCAGTCTATTCAGCAAAAACATCTATAGTTCACAGCTCTTTAATCCAGGACCAATTATAGGTTCTGAAAGGCAAACCTATGAAAAGAATTACAACAAACTTTTGTTAACTTTCTTTACAACAAACTTTTGTAACTTTTCCATGTCTGTGTTCCTTGGTCATAGTTTTTAAACATTAGGAACGCCATGTTTCCAAGCACTGGAACAAAGGAGCAGAGTCTACAGGAGTATTTCTGAAGTAAAATGTTGCCATCCAAATCAAATGCCATAGCAAATTTCAAGACATTCTCCACTCTTCAATCAAAATCGACTAAATGGGTCACAGACTGGAACCCTAACGTGTTTTTATTCCAGGTGATCTATAGCACACTTGGTGAAGTCAAATCATCAGGAAGACATTACCGTCACATCGAGTTGATGTAAAAATACTTTAAGCGTATATATTGTGAGAGTAGGGAATGGAAGGAGAGACCAGACATTAAACTTACAGGGTATAAGCCACCAGAAAGCGCTTTTCCAAGAAGGACTATGTCAGGTCGGACGTTTTCATGATCAACAGCCAGCCATCTACCAGTTCTGGCCAATCCTGTCTGTATTTCATCAGCAATAAACAGAACCTGTAAGAAGAAAGCATACAACAGTAATTATCACTTTCATTTCCATAGGGAAAACAGTGCTCATTTATTCCCCATCCCTCCTTAAACGTGCAACCCCCATGCCCTCAGATATGTAAAAATGTCCTAACTACCCACACAATCCCAAAATGGTCCCTATGAGGGTCAGCTCTGCAGCCCAGTGGTTAAAGAAGTTGGACCCCACATGACTGACCAGAGTTGAGATCCCAGCCCCAACAGCTTGAAAAACACACTAGGTGTGTGTGCATGCATGCACACATGCCCAGAATCCAACAGGATAGGCAAAGGGAGAAGGGATTGTAGCCTGACCATACCCTATTGAGCTGTGCTCCCCTCATCAAGTGCACATGCTCTCTGGCAATTAAATAAATCAATAAATAAAAGAAGTATGTTTGAAAAAAAGAGGGTTCTATGAAAATCCTGTAGACACACCAACATCCTGTCACATGTTGGTGATCTGTAGCACACTTGGTAAAGTCAAATCATCGGGAAGACATCACTGTCACACCGAGTTGATGTAAAGGTACTTTAAGGATATTGTGAGAGTAGGGAATGGAGAGAGAGACTGGACATTAAACTTACAGGGTATAAGTTCACTATCTCCCTAGATGCCACTCTGCACTGGTCCACACAGTAAAAAGGCACTTATGCAAAGGTCAGGGTTTTGCAGGGCTTTTCTGAATGATCTAACTACCCTGTGGGAACAATTCACTTACTTACTCCACAAACACGTATCAACTACCACGATGTGATAGAAACTGCCAATGGTAAACGAAATACACTAGTATTAGCCTTAGTGAGAGAAGGGGAAGACAGGTTTTAACTTTTGGAGCTAACGGATATAACAAATGACTTGGAAGAGATAAGAGTAAAAGGTTCCTGAAGAAGGAGGAGAGAGGAGGGAACACAGTGAGGGCACAGAGGTCCACAGCTCTATGAGAGCCCAGGGTATGGCCAGTGTGCCACAGACTGTGAAACGCAGGCTTCTGTGCCAGTTTCTAAGCATGAGAAAGTTCTTAAGCTCTCAGAGCGCTGTCTCAAGTGGAAGGGTGATTCAATCTTTGCATTTATCCTAGCACAGTTCAGAGACAGGATAAGCTGGGTAGGAGCTGGTTCAAGCTAACCACAGATGGCATGAACAACCTGATGCCTGGAGCAGAGTTCGCGCACTCCCACGAGGTAACCCGGATCCGGAACAAGAACACCAGCCTCACCCTGAATGGGTTCTACCATAAATGCAGCAACATCTGGATCCTGAAGAGCACGCTACAAAAAACAGGAATAACTTTTAATAGTTTCACTTCTACCATACTTGGAAGTCTGAAATCACGTACTGTGCATATTTTTCTGTTAATAAGTAAGCAAATTATGTTTCTGCACTAATTTACATTCTATAACATTTCTCACTGACATTCAACTACCACAGGCTCCCAATTTCTGCTTTAGGTTACATTCTCCCAAATAGTCTAATACATGAATGTATAAGTAAACCTTCAAGTAATGGCTTTTTAAAGCCATATTAAGGCTTTTTTAATAACTAAAGATTAACCACTCTGAATGTTGAAATGTGGTTAATTTTTTAACCACTTTGAAATGTAGCTGAAAATTGAAGAATTTTACCTAGTAATGAAGAATTTTACCTAGTTAATTTTAACTAGTTACCAAGTTAACTGCTATAAAAGATACACATCTAAAATGGCTGGTTGGTTGTAAGAATGAGATCACAGAACCTAGTTTTTCCTGTGGTGGAAACTGGCCATTACTGAGAACAAGTGTGAAATGCTGGCCTAACTTAATATGGAGTCGCATAATGTGTTTTTAATGCATATATTCGACAGGCTTCATTTACCCTGACTATGAGTTAACACCATGATAGTACTCAGTACCTCAAGTGCAGGCAGATCATTATATGGAATGATTTCGAAACCTGGCATATATGGTCCAAAACCATCATAACTGGAAGGGTCTGTGGAACTGGAAATAGCAGACAACGTTCTACCCCAGAAGTTTCCAGCTGGAAAGGAGAAACAAAGTGATTATTTAAAATAATCCCCCAAATTTAGGAAGTACTGCCCCCCTAAAAATAACAGAAAGTTTTACTTAAAGGAAGAAAATCAAGGATTTGCTTTGGAGAACCTCTACTGATTTTTCAATTGACATTTAGGCACCATGATTTATGAGGGAAGACCACTATTTCAGGCACTTCTACCTGTGCCTCCTGACTATAATATCCAGCCCCTGAGGACTGTTAAAATTAGAAGTCATTGTTTTTAATTAAGCTCCTTCTCTTTTTCTGTGCAAAAACGTGTCATGACTTTCCTGACAACCTAATAAGATAGGTTCCAACAGACCAGACTAAAAATCGAAATGGAGTTACTCACTGTCTCCGTATCACCAAACCAAAGCTAAATTGTTAGGTGACCTTCAGAGAAATCAAGAGACATAACAGCATGGTGTTTCCGAAACAGGTCAATTTCAATGGGCATGTTAATGAAGTTCCCTTTGTTTTAATCTTTTCACAAAAGAAACAACCTGCCTATTGTTTAAAGTAACTTTAAAGTCACCAGTCAGCTCTTTCTGTAGGCTTTATTCATCCTTCCTGCCTGTAAAACCACCCTCTGTTTATCTCTTTGGAATGCTATTGGAATTCTATTCATTGAATGATGTGCTGCCAATTCTAGAATTGCAAATAAAGCAATTAAAATCTTTAAATTTTTATAGGTTTTGTTTTTGACAAGATACTTATTTTTCTCTCAGTAATCCCACCTTCTCCCCCAATAAAATAGTCCCACCTCCAATATCCAAGCCTGACAACTGAGGCACTCGATTCATGTTTTCTAGAGAAGGTAGATTTATGACAGTGATGTGTGAGAAAGAGGGTATCCTCAGAAAGAGCACGACCTCTTAAACTCTAACGCTGAAGGCTACGACTCTCCAGAATACATGTCCACTAGAATACATGTCCACTTTCGTTACTAGAAAAGATCCTGAGGCAATCCAAATACTGGGTCTTCAGAATAGTCGTGATGCATTTTTGCAGAGAAAAACAGAATACTCCATAAATTTTCCGATGACCCAATCCTTTCCATTTTGCCTTCCTTGATATGATGATCCTTTCCAAGGCTAGATTGCAGACCTCTCTCTGCCTTTCTTTACAAACATTTTTTTTTTTGAGAGAGAGATTTTCGCTATAGGGCGCCGTGCACTCGCCAGACAGAGACAGACATAGAGACAGAAAGCGAGAAATCACCCCCCAGGGGAGATGGTCACGCCGCAATTCTCCTCCCGGGAGCTTGGGCACGCACGCACACGTGCCCGGCATGAGTTTTAAGCCACCGGGTCCAGGACACGAACCGCGGTCAACTACGTGGGAGTCCAGCAACATAGCCATTACACTAACTGTTGGTTCCCTTTAGAAACATTTTTCAATCCATCAGTAAATGTGACTGAGGATCACATGTCACATGTCACGCACTGTTCTGGGTGGAGATGGAAAGTGATCAAAATTGTCAAGCTCCCTGTCTAGAAGGAGTTTCCTTTTTAGTCAGGGTGAAACACCATAACAAACTAGAAAAGTAAATTGACTAAATAATTTCAGATGGGGTTAAATTCAAGAAGAGAAATAATGTACAGAGCTAGGGGGTCTACACATTATAAATGTTTTCATATCTTCACACCACCTCTGTCAACAGCCAACTCAATTAACTCAGTATTTTGGGTCCTGGCACCTCTAAATACTACTCTTACAAAACCTTGACTTTCCTGACAACCTAATAAGATAGGTTCCAACAGACCAGACTAAAAATCGAAATGGAGTTACTCACTGTCTCCGTATCACCAAACCAAAGCTAAATTGTTAGGTGACCTTCAGAGAAATCAAGAGACATAACAGCATGGTGTTTCCGAAACAGGTCAATTTCAATGGGCATGTTAATGAAGTTCCCTTTGTTTTAATCTTTTCACAAAAGAAACAACCTGCCTATTGTTTAAAGTAACTTTAAAGTCACCAGTCAGCTCTTTCTGTAGGCTTTATTCATCCTTCCTGCCTGTAAAACCACCCTCTGTTTATCTCTTTGGAATGCTATTGGAATTCTATTCATTGAATGATGTGCTGCCAATTCTAGAATTGCAAATAAAGCAATTAAAATCTTTAAATTTTTATAGGTTTTGTTTTTGACAAGATACTTATTTTTCTCTCAGTAATCCCACCTTCTCCCCCAATAAAATAGTCCCACCTCCAATATCCAAGCCTGACAACTGAGGCACTCGATTCATGTTTTCTAGAGAAGGTAGATTTATGACAGTGATGTGTGAGAGAAAGAGGGTATCCTCAGAAAGAGCACGACCTCTTAAACTCTAACGCTGAAGGCTACGACTCTCCAGAATACATGTCCACTAGAATACATGTCCACTTTCGTTACTAGAAAAGATCCTGAGGCAATCCAAATACTGGGTCTTCAGAATAGTCGTGATGCATTTTTGCAGAGAAAAACAGAATACTTCATAAATTTTCCGATGACCCAATCCTTTCCATTTTGCCTTCCTTGATATGATGATCCTTTCCAAGGCTAGATTGCAGACCTCTCTCTGCCTTTCTTTACAAACATTTTTTTTTTTGAGAGAGAGATTTTCGCTATAGGGCGCCGTGCACTCGCCAGACAGAGACAGACATAGAGACAGAAAGCGAGAAATCACCCCCCAGGGGAGATGGTCACGCCGCAATCCCTTCTCCTCCATTCTCCTCTCGGGATCTTGGGCACGCACGCACACGTGCCCGGCATGAGTTTTAAGCCACCGGGTCCAGGACACGAACCGCGGTCAACTACGTGGGAGTCCAGCAACATAGCCATTACACTAACTGTTGGTTCCCTTTAGAAACATTTTTCAATCCATCAGTAAATGTGACTGAGGATCACATGTCACATGTCACGCACTGTTCTGGGTGGAGATGGAAAGTGATCAAAATTGTCAAGCTCCCTGTCTAGAAGGAGTTTCCTTTTTAGTCAGGGTGAAACACCATAACAAACTAGAAAAGTAAATTGACTAAATAATTTCAGATGGGGTTAAATTCAAGAAGAGAAATAATGTACAGAGCTAGGGGGTCTACACATTATAAATGTTTTCATATCTTCACACCACCTCTGTCAACAGCCAACTCAATTAACTCAGTATTTTGGGTCCTGGCACCTCTAAATACTACTCTTACAAAACCTTTCACCTCCATCTCCCCCTAAGGGTAATCTAAAATAATCACATCTTTTACTCATCCACAAACAATAGTATATTGATTTTGCCTAAGGTGGCACTGATCAGACCATGAGTCTATCTGCTCCTCGTTAACTAGCTTCAGGAATCTCTCTGCCAGTAAAAGAGACTTACAATTGGGGACAGTCTCCCGCTGTCTCTCCACCCCACTGACTCACAACTTCTTTCAATACGCGGGTGAAAACGTCATTGCACCCTTTGCTAGTATGAAAGAGACTGTATCCAGTCTGTAAAAATGAAAACCACCAGAAATACCATTTTCGTTTGCAAGAGACAGTCATGGTATTCTACAACTAAGGCACAGGATTTTAAAACAGCAAGTTGTCTTTGGGACACCTCAACCAATTAGCTCTGGCCATGAATTCAACTCTGGATTCTATTATATAGAGTTTATAACTTAACTGTATGTATTCACAAGGCTTGATGGTTTCAACTTGATGGTTTCAACTATCATGAGATTAAATTGTGACCACATACAGTGACAAATTCATGCAGATTTTTTCAACTAAAATCAAAGCTTAAAAAGAAAGTCAGAACCTATCACCTGAACATCATATAAAGATTTCAGAAGGGACGGCAGGTGACATGGTGGTTAAGGTATTATACTCCCACACGGTCGACTACAATTCATGTCCCACTTCCTTTCCCACTTTCCCTCTCTCTCTGGTCAAATTAAAAACAATGATGGTGATGATAAATAAAAATAAATAATTCTTAAAAAAAAAAAAAAGATTTCAGAAGTCATTCAAGTTATTCTCCTCAACCACTCCCAAAAAGTGTAGCAAGAGTCATTTCAGCTGCCCACAGTGGAGCAAAATCACCGAACACAAAGCCTATTTTATAACTAAGTGCTTCTAATAGCTTATAAGAATATGGCACACGAATATCCAATATTAAGATTCAAACTTCATGTCATATATATGTGAGACATGGACCCCATTCTAATATATCCCAATTCCAATACCTAACAATTCCTGTACCTAACAATTCCATTAGTAAGACCATCTCATTAACTAGAACACTGCTGTGGAAAAATATCTGGTAATAAAACTAAGAAGTTCCTCATTAATTTTTAGGAAATTTTCAGCAAGTCATATCATGTACCAGGCAAACACACTTGAACACATTTAATTCACGTGGATGAATGAAAGCAGAAAATGACGTGCACATATGAGTCATAGTCATTGATATTTAATTTCATGTACCTGCAAACACTATCTTTGCTTTGTACTTCTGAATACCCTTCACAGTATAGCCCCATCTACGGGCAAGTTTGCAGGCAGTCTCTCCAGCCTCCACTCCTATCAAGAGAGAAAATTTTCAGATATAAATGTTTTAAATAATCAGAAAATAAATGAGATGGTTTTCTTGATTATCAACAGAGAAAGGCAATACTTTACCTGTATTCATCGGAAGAACTTTCTGGTAGTTGAAAAGCTTAGTAACATACTCCTCATATTCACCAAGTACGTTATTATAAAAAGCCCTGGATGTTAAGGTCAATTTGTCCGCCTGACTCTTAAGAGCGTCCACAATCTTGGGGTGACAATGCCCTTGGTTGACAGCGCTATAAGCACTCAAGAAGTCAAAATATTTTCTGCCTTCAATGTCCCATACATAAATACCTAAGATATAAAAAAGAAAAATAATTTTAGAAAATTACCGTATGATGTAAAGTCCAAAGATTAAGACTGCTAGCCTACATATGAGCCTCTATTTAATATCCCAGACGCTTCTCAACTTACAATGGAGTTTAGTCCTTATAAACCTTTTACAAGTTGAAATATCATAACTGAACATGCATTTAATATAGCTAGCCTACCAAACATCATAGCTTAACCTACCCTAACTTAAACATGCTGAGAACAATTATATACACATACAGTTGGGTAAAATCATCTAATACAATGCCTATTTTATAGTAAAATCATTGAATACTTCATGCTATTTGTTAGATAACATAACGAAAATGAAAAACTGAGTCTACATACTCCAAGTATGGTTTCTACTGACATGAATACCAGTCACTTTCATACCATCTTAAAGTCAAACCAACAGAAGTCAGGGACCATGTGTATATTTGTAGTTACAATTTGTTTTACTGCAGGCGTAATAAATTTTGGTTTATAAAGAAACTACTGAGACCAGCAGATGGCACAATGGTTTTGTCACTCCCACATAGTCAACCACTCAAGTCCTGGACCTGGGGCCTTAAAACTCACGCTGAACCCATGTGCACACATGTCCAAGATCCCAAGAGGAAACTGGAGGAGAAGGGATTGTGGCATGGTCATGACCCACGGGGATGATTTCTTGCTTTCTGTCTCCCTCTGTGTCTCCAGTGAGCACATGGGCCCTATAGCAAAAATCTCTCTTTAAAAAAAAAAAAAGAAAAAATTAAGGATTATGTTATTGGCCCAGCTTCAAAATACACACTTAACAAAACACACATTTAAGAAGAATGACACAAAATGATTACAAACTCTGGAATGAAAACTTTACCTAATTCTAACCTTTAGTTGTCAAAATTAGAATTTGAAAGTAGAGATACATAACAGACAAAAATCACGAGATACAGATGTAGCAACCCATAGAATGAGAGAAAAATATGTGCAACCACATATCTAATAAGGATCTAGTATCCAGAACTATTACAATTCAACAAGACAAGACAAAGAACATTTTTAAAATGGGCAAAGAACTTCAATATACAGGAATTTACAAATGGCTAATAAGCACATGAATATACAAATTTAAAAAAAAAAGTAACGAAATAAAATTCTTTAAAAAAAAAAAAGATATGCCTATTATTATAATATTGGTCCCAAATAAAAATAACAGCAAATGACAAAAATGCTTAATATTCATATATTGTCAGCTTCTGGTGCAAAGCTAAGTAATAATAAACTTTATTTATTGTTTGATTAAGGCTGTTGCTTCAAAATTCAGATTAAACTACCAACTGGCAACTATCATAGTAACCATTTATTCAGATAAGAATCATTAATGGATGTGGTGGGTGTAAGTTTCATAAGTAACAGAGTAGTTACAAAGTCTCAAAGTACATCCCCAACGAGATTCTTAACACAAAAGGGGAAATAGTAACTTTAAGCCTGGCAGATGCTACTTTACAAGCAACCTGGAGTTAACAGCAGTAGTAGGGGAAACCAATTTGTCTCTTGAAGTGAGGCACCCAGAAGGATACATCATTACACAAAAGAACACAACTTGATAGATTACTAACACCAGCCAATGCATTCATTTTTTTTTTTAAGAGAAATTTTTGCTATAGGGCACGTGCGTTCACCAGAGCGACAGAGAAAGACAGTGAGTGAGAAATCACACACTGGGGAGGATGGTCACACCGAAATCCCTTCTCATCCATTCTCCTCTAGGGAATTTCAGCATGCATGCACACACGCCAGTGCCTGGTGTGAGTTTTAAGCTACCAGATCCTGGACTCAAACCAAGGTTGACCACTTGGGAGTCCAGTGATGTAACCATTACACCATCTGCTGGTTTCCCCCAGTCAATGCATTCTACAAAATTATTGGCCTGTGCACTTTGAAAAAGAAGGCTGGCCCAGTGTCAGTGGTGCAGGCAGTAGCACATGGAAGTGCTGTGATGAAAGCCATTAGCAGACTATAGATTAGGTTGTTGAGTCAACCTGAACACAGTGGATAGAGTGTCCCAGCTCCTGAGGAGTTAGAAGCTGCAGAGCAGGGATCCTAGTGTAATGAGACCCCACTGCGGCACCTGTCTCTCTCTCTCTCTCTCTCTCTTATTTTCTGTCTCCCTCTCATGCATCCATGTACGCACTCTATTTCCTAAATAAAAAATTAAAAGTGTCGGCCTCATAGTGCAGTGGTTAAATGCTGTGTATAGAGTCAGAGTTCCACATGGGACTCCATGGATTTGAACCCCAGCCCGTGGCTTGAAAAATCGGCCGGTGAATGTGTGTGCTTGCCTAAAATCCTGATGAAATGGAGAAACAGAGGAAAAAGGATTGTGGCATGACCGGTCCCCTTTGGGGCACCCCACCCAAATGCTAGCCACCCTTGCTATGGGTACAGTATCCTCTGGCAATTTCTGGCAATTTAAAAAAAAAAAAAAACCAAAAGTAAAAAAAAAAAAAAAAAAGGTGTGTACTATAAAAACCACACCAATTATTTATGGGCAAATAGGCATCTTGCCTACAATTTTCTCTCAGAGTTCAGAAAAAAATATGTGTAACATGTAGGGGTATGGTGGAGAAGAGAGAGAGCATGATAAAAGGTAAAATATTAATAAAATCTCAAAAACCTAAGTAAAGAGTTTAAAAAACAATTAAGTTTGCTATAGGGCATTGTCTGGAGACAGAGACAAGGAATGAGAAATCACTCTCCAGGAGGAAGGCCACGTCACAATCCCTTCTCCATTCCTATCTCAGGAAGTTGGCCATGCATACACACACGCCCAGTATCTTTCAAGTTGCTGAGTCCAGAACTCACTTCAACTGTGAAGCTGGCCATGTGGGATTTAGCTGCTCTAACCACCACACCACCTGGCTGGTCCAGAGTTAAAAAAAAAATTAGCACTTGGGAACCAGCAGTTAGCGTAATGGCTATGTGGCTGGACTCCCACGTAGTCGACTGCGGTTCGCATCCCAGACCTGGTGGCTTAAAACTCACGCCGGGCACATGTGCGTGCGTGCCCAAGATCCCAAGAGGAGAACGGAGGAGAAGGGATTGTGGCATGACCATCCCCCCTGGGGGGTGATTTCTCACTTTCTGTTTCTATGTCTCTCTCTGTCTGTCTGGCGAGTGCACACGCCCTATAGCAAAAACCTCACAAAAAAAAAAAAAATTAGCACTACTTTTACCATCTTCTTTTCTCTAATTATGCTAAAATAGTTTATATTTTTTTTAATGACAGCAACATTACACTTCTCTCATTCCTCTTGCATTCTCTCTCTCAGTGAAGTCCACTATAAAAACTACCAAATGAAGGGGCTAGCAGGTGGCATGGTGGTTAAGGGCGCTGGACTCCCACATGGCCAACCAAGGTTCGAGTCTTGGACCTGGCAGCTTTCTTTCTCACTTTTTCTCTCTCTTTTTCTCTCTGTCCCTCTCTGGTCAAATTTAAAAATGAACAAATAAATAAATAAAGTTAAATATTTCTTTAAAAAAAATTCTCAAATGAATGCATCCTCCCAGCCTCCACAGCACCTGACGTGCAGAACCAGACAATCAATGCTGGGTTAACCATATGAGATTATATAGACATAAAATATATATTGATAAAATACAAATGCAATTTTTTAAAGAATTATTTAATTTAGGGACCAACAGATGGCATAATGGTTACGTTGTTGGACTCCCATGTAGTCAACCACAGTTCAAGACCCAGACCTGGCAACTTAAAACTCACGCAGGGCATGGGTTTGTGTGCATGCCCAGAATCCCAAGAGGAGGATGGAGGAGAAAGGACTGCAGAGTGGCCGTCCCTCCTAGGGAGTGATTTCTTGCTTTCTGTCTCTCTGTCTCTCCAGTGAGCACACATGCCCCATAGCAAAACTCTCAAAAAAGAAAAGGAAAAAAAAAAAAAAAAAACTCACAGTGGGCTTTTGTGCATGCAACCCCAAAATCCTGAGAGAAGAATGGAGGAGAAGAGATTGCAACACAGCCATCCCCCCAGGAGGTGATGTTTCTCTCTCTCTGGGGAGCACACACCCTATAGCAAATATCTCTCAAAAAAAAAAAAAAAAAGACAGTAAAACAAGAATTATTTAACTTTATTGATTACTATTATTATTCCATGTGATCAGAGAGAGACAGAAAGGGAGAGAGAGAAAGCGAGCTGCCAGGTCCAGTACACCAACTGTGATCTACCATGTGGTTTTCCAGTGCCTTAACCACCAAATTGCCAACCCCCAAAAGCAATTTTTATAGAAAGTTTGAAGTAAAATGAGTGGGGAGAATGGATTAATTCAAAGCATACCTTTTCCTCTCTCCAGGGCCACAGGTAGAGGATGGTAATTGTGTGCACCATATTTATATTCCCGCTCAAAAATGTAATCCGAAGATGGAGGGCCTTGGACCGTCTTTTTAGTTGCAACAGATGTAGCAGAGGCCACTGAAGAATGAACTCCACGGCAAAGCACAGCAACGGTCTGCACACGGGCTAGTTTGGAAAACATTGTGTCCTTCCAGCAGGAAAACCACAGATCTGTCCAAATAAAAGAAAGGGCATCAAGAGTAAATATCTTTCTCAGGGGGACCTGAAGCCTGGTCACATTTAAGGAACCTAGGGTGCTAGGTAACTGGGCCAAGTTGTGGTTAGAAATTCTCCCTAGACTAGCCACCACAGGCATGTGCTTGGTCAGTCCCACAGTGGCCACTTCGTACATCCACAAGTTCACTCCTGGTGCAAGGAAAAGAGGGCTGCCGATTCTGTGGCACCAATGGAGTGTAATCGAGAGAGTCAGGTGCATCTCTAGTGCTAATTGTCACTATGTTTCAAAGGCTGTGAAGAACACTGATAATGGAAGTATTTTTCTGATTGATTTAAAAAAAAATAATGGTTATGGGGGCCAGCAGGTGGCGTGGTGGTTAAGGCGCTGGACATTCCCACATTGCCAACTACAGTTTGAGTCCCAGAACTGGTAGCTTGCTTTCTCACTTTCCCTCTCTATCTCTCTCTGGTCAGATTAAAATAAATGAATGAATAAAATTAAATAATTCTTTTTTTAAAAAAAGTAAAAAATAAAAATAAAATAATGGTTATGGTCATCTACTTCTGCTAGAAAGTTATATAGGGTGGTGTGTAGCATACGTGTAGCATGGCCACTGTGGGACTGGCCAAGCACATGCCTGTGGTGGCTATGTAGTAGTGATGAATGCAAATAAAGTGAAAATGAAAAAAAGGGGAGGTAAAACATCTTTCTCAAGTGGATGTATGCTGCAAAAATAAGATTCTTTCCAGAATCGATGTATGTCAACTTACTAAGTATTGGTTAAGCTTCCATGACACTATCAGGTGTGATACCAACAGACAAACAATATTGCATAGGAGCCTGAGACAGACGACCCAACCAGAGAGAACAGGTGAAAGAGAACAGTCATGGGGTCAGAAACCAGGATTGGGAACTATTTTGCATATGAACTGTCTTGGTAAATGAGAAGTGAACCACTTAAGGAAGAATCTGGTCTCTACAAAGATAAGAGGGGCTGTCCATAAAGAAAAAGAACAAGTGTGGAGAGGAAAAAAAGACCAAACCACAACTGTGAAAGCCACAATCTGTTCTTGAGCTACAAATAGCTAAAACTTCTGTAAGTCATGTTTATAATAAACAAAGGTGAAAGGCAAAAAAGAGTAAGAAAAAATGCTGCGTAACTTTATTTCTTCCGTGATCGAGAGAGACAGGGAGACAAAAGGAGAGACAGTGTCCCCAACAGGGTCTCAGCGCTGCCATCTTCCCCCAGCTTCAGCCAGCCCCCAACCGTGGGCAAGTGCAAGCCCTGTACACTCAGGGAGGTCTCAGGAAACAAACCCAGAACCTTCCCATCCATATCAACCTCAGGCAGCATCATGTTTTAGTGCTGTACCACTATCCAGCATGCTGTATTTGTAATAGCTTGAAAGAGCTCTTATAATAAGTTAAACACCTTATAAATACATAAATATAAAAAAAGACAACAGGCAATTCCCAAAAGAAACTATTCTGCTAAAATGGTTGTTTCTATAAAATATCTTCTCTCTACAAAAGCAGCAATCATTTCACGGTGAGAAAGGTACTTACTGGAGAACAAACTACAGTAAGTTGCTCGTATGGATGTCGGTAATGAAACCTAAACCATCGCAGAGCACTCGGGACACTTATTCACACGTATTTACATTCTTCAGTGTCACTGCTACTCTCTCCAGTCACCACCAGCCCTCTAATCAGTCATGGTGCTTTCACGCACCTCTTACATCCAAGCATCATGATGTACCACCAAGGTAAGGACCAAACTACGGACTAAACTAAGACTCAAATGGAAATTAGAGGGGGCCAGCAGGGGGCGCGGTGGTTGTGACACTGGACTCGCACATGGCCAACTGTGGTTGAGTCCTGGACCTGGAGGCTTGCTTTCTCACTTTCCTTCTCTTTCTGGTCAGATTTTAAAAATAAATAATAACCAATAGAATCAATCAAGAAATCATTCTTTTTTAAAAAAATCAAAATTAGAGGACACGCATAGCAATCATGTCTGGGGAAGAGGAGAGGGTGCAAGATAAATTCGAGATTAAAAAATGTTGCCAAAGTCTAGGTATACTTAGTCTCTACTTATTTTTTAAAAGACTAGTTTATTCACCCTTCAACAGAAACTTGTCTATAATGACAAGTCAGGTCATGCATAATCTCACAGCTGAGAATTGAGCTGCCAAACTAGGAAAACATACTACTTGGAGCTTGGCTTACTTCCCTTTCAATTTGGCACCTCCCAGTAAATGCAGTATGTTCAGGAATTTGTTATTAACAAAACCCAGCACTGCAAGTTTGCCAATGATTCACTAACTGTCCTTTCTTCCTAACATTCAAGGCTAGAATACAGATTTCTTTTAAGTTTATTTATTATTTCTCCCATAGAGACAGAAAGAGAGAGATACCCCCCACAGGGTCTTCACAGCACAGTCTGCCCTTCACCGCAGTCAGTTCAGGTCATGAGTGCACACATGCACGTACAGTCATGTACAGGGAGGCCTAGGGACACATACCCACAACTTTCCCATGTGGGTCCGATAGCATAGAGCACTGAATTACTGCTGTGCTATTAATAGTCTAGTCCTAAAATACAGACGTTTTACCCAGGATCCAGGAACAGTCTTCAGAGAGCCCTTAACTCCTAAAACGCAGAATAGTTTACAGAGGTACATTCTTCTAGGCCCATAACTCTCACCAGATTATATCTCAGAGAGGTATGTATCAACAACCAAAACAACGGATAAGCGTCATTAAACTGGCAGTGACTGCTAGCCAAAAATGCAAACATTTCTAATTGTACTAGAGAGTTTCCCCAAAATAATGCCAAATTTAACACATTGTATGGTATATATATATTTTATCCACCACCACCACCACCCCCCCACTTGTTGTCGTCCGCAATTCCCAGGTCATAATTGGCCTAGTGTCCTTGGTTCTTGAAGCAGCTTCAGAGTGAGAAATGTGAAAGATAGTCTGATCCCCTCCTTTCATCTGCCCCAAGGCAGAATCTTCCAACTCTACCACATGCTGCCAAATGCATGTGGAATGTCCTCCATGGTGCTCAGCAGAGTAACCACCCTGGGTGATTAATGGGGAGGACCTTAGAGGAGAGGATGTAGGTCCCAGTGGCAGGGCTTCCTCCAAGGCTAGTAATCTCAGCTTTTATATGTTGGGGTCTGGAGTGGCAACACAGAAGGGCTGGCAGCGAGGAATGGCCATAGCTTGTCTGACCTCCATCTGCTATTGCCCCATGCTGATTTCGGGGAACTGTCCTCATGAGTGTGCCACTTAGGGCCCAAGCATTACCCAATGACCTAATTAATCAGAGACTGGCTAAGACCTTAGCTCAGAAGCTGGGGAAACTGACACCTATTCCTGGAAAGCAATCCAAGACCTGGAATCCTGACTCAGGCAATACTTAAAACTGATGTCCAAGCAATTGCCCTGAAAAGTGATACACTTTTATTCCACACTTGAAGAAATAGCTACACATGTTCAGTTGAAGAGACATCAGCTTTTATGTCTACGAGAAAAAATATGGATGGTAAACAAGAAGTGTTCTGTGGAGTGGCCAATTTGAGAAAACACGGTGACCTTTAGACGCATGCAGAAAGGCACTTACGTTAGCAAGGCTATGAGAACATTTCCGTACGAAAACGTCTGTCTGTTGTCGTAGGTTATCTTCCTGTTGCTGATACCCAGATACTTGATACGCAGGGCAGTATGAGGCTTAAGGAAGCCACATGTGTTTATCAGATTTTGCCCCAAAAAGATCAGAGAAATTACATGGCAGCCAGCCAGTCATTTTCACATCTTCAGACGATTTACATCCTAAAGCAACTGGCTTTGCATTCCATTTCCTCTTCCCCCATTTTCTGTTCTATCTGAGAACTTGGGCCCACCCAATCCTTGATCCTTGCTTTTCTATACTTGTGTGTCTTTGTTTGTTGTTATGCTTATTTCCAATCCACAGCCTTCGCCACTCAGAAAAATGGGCTCAGCCGAGCAGGTCCTGGCAGTGTTCCACTGTGAGTTTTTAAAAATGAATCCTAAAACTTGTGGACTAGTCAAACCACCCATGATTTCCCATATGCTTTTTCAGAATTTGGGAATCGAAGCACTTCTTTGGTCAGCAGGTACCCCTTTAAAAGTAACTGAGATCTTCCCAATTAAGAGTGAAAGAAAGGCACACTGGAACCTTTTGTAGGACCTATTGTTTCTATAATTCTATTCATGGATATGGACAAGCAGAATCAAATATGTTTACTAGTGGAAAAAAAATACCAGGAATCAGGGCCAGCAGAAGGCTTAGTGATTATGTCACTGGACTCCCACATGGCTGACTCCGGTGAGTCCCAGACGCAGTGGCTTAAAACTCATGTCTGGTGTGTGTGCGCGTGTGTCCCCAAGAACCCAGGAGAAAAATGGAGAAGGGATTGAAAATAATAATAATAATAATAAAAATAACAGAATACCAGGAATTAGTAGAGTACACCGTAATCTGTATTTTATTCAGATGACTCCTCACAGATTTACAGAAAATTTAACACCTAGTAACTAGGATGTATTTTTTCAGATGATAAAACATTGTTTTGGGAAGCACAATGCCAGGTGAATAGATCATTTACGCTCACTGAGTCCAGTTTGATGCAATGGATATACTGATGCAAACAAGAAAAAGTGAAAACTAATATATACCCTCAAGACTTCAAATGGGGACCAGCAGATGGTGTAGCAGTTACACTGCTGGACTCCTACATGGCCAACCACAGTTCAAAACCCAGTGGCTTGAAACACACAAAGTGTGTGCACCTGTGTACCCAAAATCCCAAGAGGAGAATGGAAAAGGGATTAAGGCATGGTCATCCTCCCTGGGGGATAATTTCTCATTTTTTCTTTCTCTCTCCCTCGGGCACACACTGAAAAATGTAAGGTACCCCAGCCTGGTAGCACAATCAACATACTAAGCTACAATGCTGGA